ATATTATCACTCTATTATTTTGTTCCTCTGAGTTTCGGGTTCCTCATTTGAAACCTCTGAGATGTAACAGCAGACATTTTGATCTGTCAGTGTCAAGATCCCGGTCATATAAGGGCAAAATATACTTTGATGGAATCTGATATGAATACGAACCGAACAGCACCGATAATGAGCTGATTCGCCATAGCACACAACGTTGTAGATGTCGTATATTGTATATTGTGCGTACTTTGTACTTTGGGTGGCTTTTTTAGTGCCCTTGATCTACATCGCCATCGACATGAACAGGGAACTACCAAGATAAATCCTTGTGGAGTCTGACGGCACTGATAGTGGACATTGACCCTCTTTTTTCCTTCAGAAAAGATGAACTGGGTCAGAATACGAGGAAACACTATCGCCGTATGTAGGTAATGCCGTCTTCTTGCCTACAGGCCAGCCCGCTCAGCACGTAAGAACACAAAGTGGAGAGAAGTGCGGGACATGAGCTGGCATTAGAGATTATGGAGTACTCCATAGAGAATATAATATGCAGTGTAATACGAAAGTGGCAAGGAGTTATTCCAAACGGAGCTCCGCTTCCGTACTTTGTCATTTCATACTCAAATCTCACACGAAAATGATGCATACCGGCCGAACCGAATAAGAAAATTAAAAACAAGGGTACCTGAATAGAGATGCACATCTTCAGGTCTGGGCTACCAGGGTATACATCCGCCTTGCATTGGAGGCAACCGGCAATCCAGGTAATGGGAAATGGTGGAGGCCCCGAGCGCACCTTAGAGCGAATCGGTACGACAATGCATCATGTAGGAACCAGATCCAGACCATCAAGGCGATCTCTGAACGAGAGATAAAAAGGTACCTTTTCAGAACTCCACACAGTACCTATGTTTGTTTCGATCGCGAACTCCACGGGGCAGTATCTATGCTGTATGTGTATGCATGCATGCACCATGCACCTCGGAGAAGTCCCTCGAGTGTGACCTCTCAGATGCGGCGAATTTGAGTTCCAGAAATAGTTCATACAAAATACGTATGTACTATGCACCGCCAGCGTCTGCTAGATCTGTATACTAGGGAGTTGTCCTTGCAGGAGCCGGTGGCGAACTACACCATTCGGGGAATAAATTTATATCCACAGTGATTAGAGAGTTCCCGCATGCTCGTTCTTGGGGTTGGGAGATTTGAGGAGTTGCGGGCTTTTGGTGTTTGAGTTTTTTTTTTTTTTTTCTTTCTCTCCTCACGTACTTTGTACCTCTGAACGGCAGACGCTTGGTGCCTATTTGGGTAATCAACTGTGAACCTTACACACAAGATAATATTGTACTTTGTACAGAATGGACGGTAAGGTCTTGAGATCCACATGGCTTTTTAACTAACAGTTATGATCATCTGCCCTTGCTGCTCATGCCGTCTTCGATATTAGGTGATATCATGTATGGGAACAATTATTGTTTATCAACGCTTTTAGGCGGGGAGAGTATTCTGTATGCCGGCCAACACTTCATGCAAAGAGCCTTCCTCTATTGAATAGACTAAAAGGTCACACAGCCCCTGCTGTGGGATCAATCTGACACGAGCCTGCATTTCCATGCTTGCCACTCATAGAACGAGGGAGATTACAGGCGTTCCAGTGGGGAGACAACACGCACAGTAGTGCACTGTATGTACGGAATTTGAGAGTGGCAATTTAAAGTGGAAACAGGGAAGATGACAGTAAAACTCGAAGATTTCTCATCAAAAATAATGAAAAGGAGAGAGGTCGATATCGCACCTGATAGAACTGATCGAATCACATACCATGGACTAAGGACCTAGGTGGGTATATTATTTTACAAGGGTGATAACAAATTCCATGATCCTAGTCACCATGCTACTCCGTACTTAGTAAGTATAAACAGGGAAGAGGATCCTATATCGTGCATGAGGCGCTTTTAAGCGCTTGGCGGGAATTAGTCCCGAAAAGGAGTATTTCAGTTGGATTGGAACATCTCAAATCATCCAATAGTCAAGTGATTCATTTTCTCCATACATTAATCTATAGTATTAAAATAAGATTTCTCTAATTATACTGTCCCCGCCATGGCAGTGACAGTTGAAACTTGACAGGTCAAGGGGCGGCACGGGAAGGCGACTATTGGGAATGATTTGGTGGGAAGAGGGTATGGGAGATGCTCATTGGCGCTGGGCGTACCGTAAGCTTTGCGATGACAGCGTGGAGGCGAAGGGGACCTGAGACAGTGAGTACCCATAAATCTGTACTCCGTGTACGGTGGCTTGTTCCTTACACACGAGAGCCGCACGGGACGGGGATCATGTCCGAGCTTGTAGCGAATGTCATGTAATATCGAAAGAGGGGCTACAAAAGTATGATTATTGGACCATTTTGCAGCCACACTATGACCACGTAGAGGGCGGCGCGTTCATACTATGCGAGGTACGATCAACCTCGTAATCCACGGCGTGGATGTTTACATCCCCGGATAACATGCGCACCCACGCAAGATAGAGACAACGATGAAACGGAAGTCTCAGAATCGGTCCCGGGGATCGGGATAAGAGTCTATTCTCTGATCCGCGAAAGTTAAAGGGTTCGATTTTGCTATTCAGCAGATCCGGAGAAGAGATCCTACATGCATATCACTTAAAACGGTAAGCAGGGAGGGAACCAAATGGACAAGTGTGAAGATCCCTGGGGCCCAGATTGGCCCGGGGAACTCTCGGAAAAAAAATCATGTAGAGAGTTTGACCGAATTCGAATGGTTCGTGTGAGAGAGTTTTTTCCCCCTCGAGTTACTTTTGGTACGTGCCGTCTGCAGGTGAGAGGCGTGCCAAACTCAGTGTGAGCCACTGATCGGGTGCATATGCTAGATGCTGGAAACAGGGAACTATGGGAACAGGGTTTCAGATTGAAGTCTGCAAAGCACGAAAGAGGGGGAGTATTCAGGTGAGGTTATCTTTTCCGTTGTGGAGTTTACAGATGGAGTTGGAGTACGGAGTAGAATGCATAGAATTGCAAATCGAGAATTGTGGGCTTTGTCACGGTACTTAATACAAATAAAATAACAGGACATTACTTCGTCCTCAGTACATAATAGGGATTGTGAACACGAACGGCCAGAACGTGGGGACTTAGTGTCTTTGATGGAGTCGCCATGAGGCAAGCTGATTGACTGTTGGGTGAGACGGGAAGGGAGAATATGACAGCTCTATTTCCACAACCATTGGTTCTTCTAGCGAGGGAAGATCTAGGGATATGAGTATTAGATTAAAATGTATGGAGTAGGGTTATTTGACATTTTTGGAGATTAAAGATGCAACGAGAAGGAATAAAAAAAAAAAGAAATTAATATCATGACTGAACGTAGTGAACGTAGGGCTCTATCCCCACTTGAAGGGGGGGAACGTGTCCATCTGTTTAGGGTTTTTAGGGCTTCACTAGATATTAATTTCATCTGACTTGTCAATTCTCCAACGTCTGTGTGTCAAACAATTCCAAATCATCTTAATCCTCATGATTCGCTGCCTGACAGCAAAGGGTAACCTGGTCTTTGGGTCTCGTCCCAACTCGCTGGTTTCCTCGATGTCGGGCCCTTTCTGGGGTGTCGCTTATATGATAAGTGATTTAATAATATTTGCTAATCCTAACGCTGAGACCGTCAATGGCGCTTATAGCTTCCTGCTCGTAGACCCAATTATTCCCAACTTCATTGTATAGAGCTATGATCTTTATTCTCGATGCCTACCTCCTCGCATGTATCAACGTGACACTCCCGCAGTCCTTGCTTAATTCTATTTACTTTAGGCAATTTAAATTTATTAGAAGCGCCTCGAGGGGTATTAGCTCGTTGATAATGGAGAACCCCTTGATACTATAGCACGATCGTAGAAGTTTCTCCTGACTATCGATGCAGAAGATCGAGATGCATCCTGAGATTGTGTTACAGCAAGCGTTTCATCATCTATCAACATCTCAGCGGGGATCTAATGATGAACACGGAGATGGCCGCGGATGTACGTAGATACTGTGGAGTATGCAGGCAAACCTTAGTTCTAGTTGTTTGGTGATTTTCCTTTTTCCCTTTTTAGTGGCTTCATTCTCACCAACAGTTCACATCCGTATAAGTTCTCCGGAGGTTTTAATAGAGAACCTCCAACGTCATTAATTGGGATAACTATTGATGCAAGGGCCATAATGCCTCTTTTTTTTTTAAAAAAAAAAAGAAAAAAATTTAAAATCTTCCCCGTGTCGATCGCGACACCCAACAGTTCGGTGACAAATTAGGGGTCCTGGATCAACACGAACCCTCCTTTCGGGCTGGATCGTGTTCCCCTCATTCGTCGATCTTACAGAGTAATATGTGAGGTTCGGTCTGTGCATGATGTGACAGATACTTCTGTGATACCGAATATAATTATTTTCTTCTCTGCTTCTTTCCCGGGCCCAAGCGGGCACTAGCAAGTGGTCCAGAGCACCCACCCGGGATGCCCATCTTGCTTCCCCGTCGTCGTGAAGCTGTGGGGCAAAGAAATGTACCCTCTGTCTGTATGACATCCGAAATTCCGCGCTTCATGTCTGTCGAGGATCGGCCTTGGTTCACGGTTCCCCTCGCCTGGGTCCGGCGAGGCCCTGGGATCTGGGAACGGGGAACAAAGTACTATCCCAATCTACATATAAACATGCATCCCAGCCCGCATGGTATCCCTTTCTATTCATTGTCTCATTGTATACACACTCGCCTCGTGTAGATTTCGCTTTTGCTTCTTCTTCTTCTTTATTCTGTCTATAGCCCTGCCCCCTTTGTCCATTACTGCATATACAACCTTGATTTATCTGCACTCTCCTCGACATTCCATCCACGACCTCATCAATCCTCATCTACACAGGAACACGAATCAAGCGTGATCTTTCAGTACATATTCTGTCGACATACTTTGAAGCACTTCGGCACCACTCTCCACTGCACATATCACGCATGTCTCAACGACCAACTACGATGTACGAAGAAATGGGTTCTAACACTGACAATATCTCACGCCGCTGCTCTCTGCCGTGAGTTACCTCACTGTCCTAATATCAGACATATCCTAACATACATTCAAGTTCCTTCAACTCCAACACCAGCATGGCTGCCTCTGATGTTGGCGAGGAGCGCCGCCTGCCTCCCCTTCCCCAGATTCTGCCTCTGCCACCCCGCGGTCCTTTCAGCCCATTCAATGTGAAGGATGCCCTTGTTCCTACCACTCCAGGGCCCCAGGATACTTTCCAATTCAAGTCCCCTTGGGCAGCTGCCGAGCACATTATCACCCCTCCCTCACCGGCTAACTCTGCCGAGGGCTCCTGGCAAGAGTCATTTGCCGTGCAAAAGTCCAACACGGTCGATTGGCCCCATGACCTCTCTCAAAACGAGATCATGGCTCTGGTAGCCCCACAGAATCTCAACCGCAAGGCTCCTCTACAGCAGCTCTGCGGCCGCAAGCGCAAGGGTAGCGCCCAGTCTGTTGAAGATGACCAGCGCGAGAAGCACCGCATCGCCGAGGGCAACCGCCGCAGCAACCTCAGCGAGCTGCACCGCCAGTTAGACAGCCGCATCCACGATTTCTTCCTCGAGCGTGCAGGCTGGAACCCTTCCAAGAGCCTTACTCAATCCAAGGAGCACATCGTGCAAGGAGCCATCTACCTAATTGACTTCATGCTTGCCATTATCGTCCACCTTATCCGCCAGGAACAGGTCACACCGCAGCTCTCAGAGAAGCTGCAGCCCCAGGTCCGCTGCATGCAGCTGCAGCAGCTAGTCAGCTCCCTACAGCAACAAAACCAGACGGCCCAGCAACAGCTCAAGGCCACAAAGGCCGAGAACGAGATCCTCGCTGATCGTAACCGCGCCTTGGAGTTCCAGCTCAAGTCCTACGAACAGATGTTCCGCTCTCCCAAGTCCGAGAGTACCAGCCCCGGCCCCGTCCTCGAGTTCCCCGAACACAAGCGCCAGAAGAAGAATGGTCTACCTGGTATGCGGGTGCTCTGCGATGAGATCGCTGCCAGCATGCCCTCCGAGCCTTCCTACACTACTGCTCCTTACTATGACTCCATGCCTAGCTCGACCTCGCAGTCCTTTGGCAGTTCCTACCTCACTGCCACTCCGCCCATGACTGGTCCTTCTTCTCCTGCCTTCCCTCCTTCTCAGTCTTCGTCTTTCTCATTCCCACCGCCATCTCGTCGCCACTCTCTCATTGCGTCTCCATAGATCCGCAGCGGAGATTGATGATGCACGCCCGATATTGAACACTCTTCCTGTTCACTGATGATATCATGACCCTTCTACCCTTCTGTCTGTGTCGCATCCTCATTCGCATCTGAGGCCCTTGCAGCAGTGGCTGTTCTCCCTTACTCTGGGATCCGTTAGGTTTAGTCCTTCGTCTTCCCGCTCCATGTGCATTTAGCGCCTGCATTGTGTACCAATATTTTTTTCTTTGATCTCGGGGACGAACAAGAGGTTCCCCAATTTCCTCGAAGCCTTTTTTTCCTTTGTCGATTGATTTCCTTGCCTCGGGGTTTCCTTTTGTCTTTTTCTTTTCTTGGGCAAAACGGTGGTTCTTTTTTTTTTTTCTTTTTGTCTCTTGTCTTTTGGCGTTGTTTACTATGGATATACATGTTCGGGTGGATATATTTTGGCTTTTGTTCATTTCTTTTATTTCCTTTGTCATTTTCTTCTATTTTTCTATGTCTATAGCTATGACTCAATGGATAATCTTCGATGAGAATCATGCTCTTTTGTAAGGTTACCACGTAGGCTGTGATGTAGAGTGTTGTTTAGGTTAACTATATAAAATATATAGTTATGTGGCCTTTACCCCTTTTTAGTATCTAGCATTAAAATACTCCCATTTCCTAAACATTCCTTGAATGCTGGGCCTACGACATAAGAATGCAAACAATGCTCCACGCGATATCATAGGGGATTTTGATTCTTCTTATCAGGGACAAATCAGCCGTCGATCATTGGAAGGCCCAGCCGGTGGAGACCAGTCCAGACTTGAAACGGACAGGTGGTCTCCTAAAAGATGATTTGAATTTCGAGGGATGGAAGGTTGAATTGCTTTTTCTTTCAAATGAGAATGTAAATTTCATATACTGTCGTTTCATTAGAAATAGAGGTGCCTAACACAGTGCGGACCTCGGGAGTATGTGGTATAAAATGGGTTGGGTCCAGGCCGTGTCTCACTTGAACCTCGTGCCTGGAGATACTTGTCATTTCAATTTTCCTTTTTTTTTGTATGTACTTGTAATTAATTCAAAAGGAATGGAACATTTTGATTTCACCAGACAGAATAACAGAATAACAGAATTACAATTTTACGTATTAAAAATGACCCCAAATAAGAGGATCAAAGTACTCCGTACTTACTGTCCAATGTGTACGCGCAATCCCTGCAGAAAAAAAAAGTGACAACAGAGAAAAATAGGGGGGTACAGATATTTCGTTGTACATTATTATACTCCGTACCTGGTAACAGAATAAGAGAGACAGTGATATATACCCCATGCCCCATGTCATAGTATTTAATAACCCCTAAAGTGCACAGGATCATAGACGATCAAGGCTATAAATAAAAATAAAAGGGTCTTGGCTGTCACCGTTGCGTTTGGCTCAAGTGAACATTTGATATGCTTATTATTTTGGTTTAGTAGAGTAATAGAGTAGTAGAGTAGTAGAAATAGTAAAATAGATAAAATAGACTTAAGAACTACACACAATTATGCCCATTAGAACTGTAGAATAAGAGAGAATTGTAAATGTACACTTGTCTTGCTGATTTCAGCCCTTCTCCAGGGCTTGGCAGGCAATCGCATTTCCCCCGATTCCCGATTCTGTTTTCTCCCTATCAACCATTCGCTTCACCATTCCTCTCCTCCTCTCTTCTCCACATTCGTTCGGGGGTTTTACGACGAGTGTTCGAGACGGGATCGCCCCTGAAATTCTAAACCTCTCACATCTCGTCATCTCTCATCATGTTGTTGCCAAAGGGCGGTGTTAATTGGAAGTCAGCCAAGGCCAGATTGCCACCATGGAGGGCTATCATCGTTTTGTTAACACGGACTCGCTTCTTGGTCTCCATAGCCTTGACGGGTCTGCTTATCCTCATGTGGCGCGGTGTCAGCAGGTCTGCATCAGAGATGCAAAGGTGAGAGAGAGAAAGCACCCCAATCCATCATTCGGGAAACCATTCATACTGACCCGACTGGCTCCGACAGCTTCTACTGCTATGGTTCCAGCAAATCACCCATGGAGATGACCATTAACGAGATGGTCGAATGGAGTGCGCACGCCCAGACCCCCGTCCTCTTCAACCGCCACGAACCCTACGAAGTCAACTCCACCTCCATCACCGATCTCGACCTGAACCCCATCAAGTCTACCTCCAAGGCCGCTCTCAACCGCGAACGTGTACTCATCCTGACCCCTCTTCGTGATGCCGCTCCCTACCTGGCCAAATACTTCGACCTCCTTTACAAACTGTCTTACCCACACGAGTTGATCGATCTGGCCTTCCTCGTCGGTGACTGCAAAGACGATACCCTCGCAAACCTCGCCTCCGAACTCGACCGCATCCAGAACCACGCCGAGGAGAAAATTCGCTTCCGCAGTGCAACCGTTATTCAGAAGGATTTCGGTGCCGATGTGGAGATGAGTGTGGCAGAGCGACACTCGTTCGCCGCACAGGGTCCACGACGCAAGGCTATCGCCCGTGCCCGGAACTACCTGCTCTACTCGGCTCTGAAGGCCGATCACTCCTGGGTGTACTGGCGCGACGTGGACATTACTGACTGTCCCGAGCGTATCCTGGAGGACTTCATGGCCCACGATAAGGACATTCTCGTGCCAAGTATGTTGATTTTGCTTGGAATTAGGATCGGAGGTCGAACAGCTAGCTGACAGTGATTTCTTTTTTTTAGACATTTGGTTCCACCGTTACAACCAGGATGGTCATGATATCGAGGGTCGCTGTATGTATACCCGTGACACCCGGTGCGCTACGCAGATTGCTGACATCTTCATTCCTAGTTGACTACAACTCATGGATCGAATCCGACAAGGGCCGCCGTCTGCGCGCGTCTCTGCCTACCGACACCGTTCTCGCCGAAGGCTACAAAGAGTACGACACTGGCCGCACCTACTTGGTCAGCATGGGCGACTGGCGAAATAACAAGGATGATGAGGTGGAGCTTGATGGAATTGGTGGTGTCAACATCCTCGTCAAGGCCGATGTGCACCGCTCCGGCATTAACTTCCCCGCATACGCCTTCGAGAACCAAGCCGAGACAGAAGGTTTCGCCCGCATGGCCAAGCGAGCTGGATACCAGGTGGTCGGACTGCCCAACTATGTGGTCTGGCACATTGATACCGACGAGAAGCCCGGAAACCTTGGAGACCGTAAAGCGTTCTAGTTTCTACCTGCATTCCGTCCGCCGGAAATCTCGCTTGGGATCAAGTTGATCTTTGATCCCACCCCGTCATCGAACATCCACCATTCTCCATTGCCTCGTGTGTTATCTTCCCGATGATTATCATCGAGGAAAGCCTTTGAACCACGACGTGTTTCACTTCCTTTCCTTCTGTCCCCATTTTTCATTTTCCTTTCCTTTTCTCTTTTTGGATGGATGTTTCGCGACGGAAAGCCTAATGACTTCCCTAATACAGTATCTTCGTGCGTTCTAGGGAGTGTGTGTATTTGTTACCTTGGCGCTACGGGGGAAAATGTTGTTTGGCGGGTTCGCAGGTCTATAAAGTTCCTTCTCCAGGCCTCTTTCCTTGATATACCGAATTTGTGTCTCATGGGGACACACATCCCGAGTTGTGGGGATGTGTGTATAACCGGGCATGTACACTCGAGCGATTCAATCTCGATCATCTGTTCTTCTTGTGCAAAACCTACATTAGGGACCGAGAACCGGACCGTCTACTTTCATGTGTTACTTTCTTGTTTCCAAGTTTGATTCTGATTCAGCTATGCAGGGTCATCTCCAAATTGTCCTTTCTATTTTCGTCTTTTTCTCGTTTTGTCATATGCTGAGCTGGCGTCTTCGACTTTGGTTTTTTTTTTTTTTTTTTTTGTGATGAGAGAGGGTGGGATATCAGACTAACTCGGTTAAAATCCAGATGCTGTGCGATGAGTCTAGATTTCTTGCAGATGAAGCAAGGCAGATATCCGCGCTGCTCTGCGCTATCTTTTGAGTTTTCATGTATATAATCAATTGCACGATTTCATTCCCTGCAAATAGCACGAGACGTATCACATCACAGTAGTTTGATAGAAGGCCTCTTAGCCAAGACTGCGGCTGTTAGGTCAGTTGAACCTCATGTTTCTTTTTGGAAGTTCAATTCCTCTCGCATTCAACTCGGAATCCTTGCGCCACGCAAAGAAATCCAATCAAAAATTGGGTGGCTCGATAGATCGTTCTTCTAGGATCAAGTTTGAATCCGATTGGTAACGGCATGCGTCTTGACGGGTGACTGGCTACATGCTGAACGGGTATTCTCGGTTATTCTTTTTTTAGAGGGACGTCCAACATAAGCATTTCCAAGAAATACGAGGGGCGAACATATATGTACATATGGTGCATGTACTTTCTCGGTCCTAGATCCTAAATATTGGGCCAACCTTTGGGTAGCGTTTCTTTTATTCCGCCAGCTCTACTTGTATGGCTGGATTGAGGGGTTGGATAATCCTTGCAAAAAACAAAAAAAAACAAAACCTTAGCTGAAAACCAACGCAAGAAAAGGGGTCAAAGTATGAAGCACAGCCTTGTATTTAGGTGAGCTAACGTAATCATCTTTAACCCCAACAGATACACGCCTAATCTCCAGCAAGAGACAACCTCAAAAGATGAAATAGAATCACTAACCCACCTTGCTTGAAGGCACCCCCATCCACCTAATACGTTTTCCCCCTCATCACTACGGAGATGCATCTCTAGGCCCGTGTTTTTGTTTTAGAGCATGGGATCTACAAGATCACCACTGTAGTCAACCCCAGTTTCGCTTCATCGGATGAATTAACACGATGCCTCCCGTATCTAAAACGTGCCAGGGCTGCGCGGATTCCAAGGTGCGATGTGTTCGGGATAACGAGATCGCATGTAATCGGTAGGAATAAGAACAGTCTGAGGTTTCCGCCAAAGAAAACTGGAGCTTATCTAAACACAGGTGTCTCCGCTTGGGAAAAGAATGTCTATATCGCCAGACTGGGCGTCGATTTAATGGCTTCCACAAGGACCGGTAAGCAAGAAATTCCGTCATGATAATATCGTTTATTATCTAACTCATGACTCAGTAAGATCGCGGCTCTTGAATCAAAGATCAATGAACTCAAGGCCGACCGGGGTGGCCTAGAAGGAAATGAAAACAGCTCAAGCACGCGCAGCACCTCGTTAGTTGACGACGATGTTGCGCCCGAAGATATCATCAGCCGAGACTTGCTTGACATGAAGACCGCCGAAAGGTATCTAACCGCATTCAAGACCAAAATGACCCCACACTTCCCATTTGTGGTTGTTCCCCCTGATGTATCTATCAAGCGGCTCCGTCAGGAGAAGCCATTCCTATGTCTAGCAATTCTTGCGTCGGCTTCGTACGAGAATATGCCACTGCAACGGGCGCTGGGGGCTGAAGTCAAGAAAGTCGTCGCATCACGCATGGTCATCGGTGGGGAAATCTCCTTTGAGTTTTTGCAAGGGCTGCTGGTCTTCCTCGCATGGTAAATCGCCGGTCTATATGAATACTTTGATATCATGATTGCATCTAACAATAATATGGCAGGTTGCATTATCACTCACGGCCCCACCGCTATACTCAATTCCTCCAACTGGCTATAAGCCTCATGATAGATTTGCGGTTGGACCGTCCGCCGCAGACACGGACATGGAAGACAGAGTTGCGCTTTGGACTTCAATATAGTTTGCAGAAGACGTTTAATCGGCCTTCTTGGGGAAGCAATGAGCAGAGGGCTGTCTTGGGTTGTTACTATTTGTCGTCATCGTGAGTTTGTTTATGTACCATCGCAGCTTGTTGGATGTTGACTGATAGTTATCTCGCTTTAGAATTGCGATGCTTGTGCAAAAGAGATCTACTATTCTACGTCTCCCGTACCAGGAAGAGTGTTGCAAGACCCTCAGTGAATCTAACGAGTATCCCCACGATAAATATATCAGCTATGTGATACAGCTCCAATTTATTGCTGAAAAAGTCGACAATCTATCTGCAAAGCATGGACTTGACTTGGAAACGCCTGGATCGGGGTCAGAGCTCTACATCACCAATTTAAAGTCAGAGCTGGAGGCGTTCCACCGTCAACTGCCCTTCAGTATCAACGAAAGCTGTAAGTCTCAACAGAACACCAGGCTCACTATTAAAGAGAGGGAGAGAGTGTTGAAACTAATTTGTAACTGTAATTGAAGTTCTTCTCGCTATACAATACCACGCCACAGGGCTTACCCTATTCCAACTAGCTCTCAACATCACCAAACAAGAGCCCCCATCACCCTTTGAGTCAACCTCCTGGAGAGATGAAATGTCGCTCGCGGCACTTATAGCAGCCAGTTCGATCCTCAATCTGTACATTCGACTTCCACCTAACGAGGAGGTCGGATTTAACAATACGCAATGGGTACAGATAGGATTTGCCTTGCTAGTTACCTATCGACACACCGTGGCAGCCTCCAAACCAGATCAAACTGCTGCCTTCCGAGATACCCTATCAAAATTGAAATCGAGGGTTGGAGCGTTGACTACTTTGGATGTAGATATGAATGGCGCTCGAGATGCTTTCTTCGACTTTGGGAAGCGTGTAGCTCACATCGAGAACTGGCTCGCGGGAGATGGCAGACAAGAAGAAAACTCTCACAGCAATGAGAGCTTTGAGGAATTTCAGCATACGGTCTGTCTCGAACCGACACACTTTGATGGGCTTATGGGGGCTGTGGAGGCGGAGCATCTCGATATCCCTTTTGGGAATTCATTTTCAGCTTCGGACGAGGACTTTCAAATTCCACAGGATTTTTTCTTTGCATCCTCTTTTGAGCAGATTACGGGTGACTGGACATGATTCTAGGTTCAATATTCCATTATGTGAGGCTACTTTTATAAATTTCCTTTGGTCAAGCTTGTTCTCACCTCATACTTTGTTCTAGTTAGAAGTCAAAAAAGTTGCCGAAATTGAAGTTATGAAACAGATACTGGAAATGACGTGAGAAAAGGCCCCAATACGAGATAATAGACTAAAGAGGTAGTAGCCCTAGGGCTTGGAGTTTCTAAATTGGGATGACGATCCAACGTTCGTATCGCCGAGCCGATCTATACAAACCGCAAACCGCCAAGAACTTCAGCATCACCGACCCGATGTTGGATACAAAACAGATATGGAGGAAGCAAGAATAGGAATACAAATCAATTACAGTTATTTCAAAATGATCTCAGTCTCTTATGCTTCGACGTTCTTCTTGCTCTTCTCTCCGGCACTCTCTTTCACCCCATGTCCACTGCTCGGCGCAGCATTCCCTCCGTTCTCCCTTGACACAAATGACAAAACCGTTGGAGTTGCCCTGAAAGAACTCAAACTGAAGTTTGACACACTAGTTACAACAAACACTGGTGTTCATGGGGATGTCTCGGCGAACACTACCTTTAGCATCGCCTTGTTCTCGCCTGACACTGGCAATGCCGAAGACGAGCCCTTCTTCTGGCAATATCACCACACAGCCCCTACATTGAACCAGTCTTCGGTAGGATCTCATGTCGCAGATAAAAACAGCATTTATCGTATTGGTGGCCTTACCGAACTCTTTACTGTGTGGAGTCTTCTTTTCACGGGAAACGGAGACCAGATATTTGATGACCCTGTTACCAAGTACCTCTCTGAGCTTGGTAATAGTACAAGGGAACAAGATGTTATTGGACATGTAAAGTGGGATGACGTTACTGTTGGCCAACTTGCAAGTCATATGTCTGGAATTGCAAGGGACTGTGAGTAGGGCACTGAACGGGAATATGGTTGGTGATCAGGACTAATTCATGATAAATAGATTGCTCGAAGGATGTAACTTTACAAACAAGTTCTACTGAGGCGGGACTGCCTCCACGCCAGGCTATCAACATGCCTTGCTGTGGTGATGGTTCCAAGTGTGATAGCAGCGGTATGAAATCCAAGTCTGTGCCTACTATCCTCTGTGTACTAATCTCTTCATAGATTTCATTCGACACTTGGCCAACAAAACTCCGGTGGTTCCAGCTGGGGGAACCCCTAGCTATTCCAACATGGCATTCCAACTTCTAGGCTACCTAGTTGAAAAGCGGACGGGAAAACCATTCAACCAAGTCCTTCAACATGACATCTTCGACGTCCTAGGCATGACCGAAACCTCAATCTTTGCACCAAACAAAACCACCACAGGAATTATTCCCGTGAGCAAAGAAGCCAGTGGTTGGTTGGCACACGACGAAGCAGACCAAGCGTAAGTCCATCCCTTCTCCATACATCCCTTCCACCAATCTAACAATACATGCACCCCAGATCAACATCCATTTTCTCCAGCGTCAAAGATCTCGCAACTGCCGGCCAAGCAATTCTAAACTCAACCCTCCTCAGCAAACCTCAAACGAACCGCTGGTTCAAACCAGTCTCCCACACCTCCAATCCAGCCAACTCCATCGGATCCCCATGGCTTATATACAGCTCCGCCCAATCATACCCCAACGCATCCATGGTGGACATCTACACCATCCTCAGCAACGAAGGCAATGGCGAGGGCCTCTACAGCTCATACCTCGGCCTGGTCCCTGACTACGGCGTCGGCTTTGCCATTCTCTCGGCCGATACTGAGACCCCGGCAGATCTCAACGCACATGCGGATATCATCGGCGATGTCGTGCTAGAAGCGTTGATGAAAACGGCTATTGAGCAGGCTGCTAAGAATTTCGGTGGCAAATACAAGTCATCTAACATGAACTCGTCTATTGCTGTTGAATATGATAGCTTGCCGGGGTTATACATCCAGGAGTTTGTCAGTAATGGAACTGATTTCCGTGCAACGCTCGCTGGGATCGTGGGTGTTGCGAAGCCCGCGGATCTGAGTATTCGCTTGTATCCTACACAGCTGGTTGAGGAGTCTGGCTCTGGATCCAAGCAGGCTTTTAGAGCGGTCTTTCAGGATAAGACTGAGTTGGCGGATAATGGAACCCCGACTTGTGTGTCTTGGTTAGATCTTGATAAGCTCCAATATGGAGGTCGTGGTCTGGATGAGTTCATTTTTTCTCTGGATCGAAGTGGTCAGGCTGTCAGTGTTGAGATTCCGGCTTTGCAGGTCTCGCTAGGAAAGAACTAGCAGGAGAGATGGCTGACCACTGTCATTTACTTGTATGTACTTTCTTTTTTTGTGTAACATCACTTTTGGACGGTGTTTTTTGGTCCTTTGTTATAGTTTAAACATGAAGTTATTCGTTTTGCTGAACCTCAATCTCCTTCGATATCCGTCTACCTAGACATCAATCTCTCTTTATCTCCGAATGTAACAAAATTGGACAAAATATCATTCTGCACGTGACCCCTCACGTCCGTGCCATAAAAGCGGCTCAAATAGGAAATATCCCCCCAGGGAAAATCCGATATACAAAGTACGTACATTGTAGTTGCATACTTCGTACAGAAACCACAGAACCCACCAATCGACAATCCAATCCATTCCATTTTCCCTTCACCATGTCACTTCGTGTCACCCGCGCCTTTCAAAGCAAAGCCCCCGCTTTCCCCCACGCGCGGGTACCGCTCCGCGTCCCGCCATCACACTTATTCTCCTCCAGCCCCTCAGCCTCGATTAAAACATTCCCAACACCCAGAAAATCAATTCTAACCTTCCAATCTCGCAATATGTCTTCTGCTCCTGCTAAGAGAGAGTTCCTCTGCATCCTGCCCGATAAGCCCGGTGCGCAGGCGAAGCGTCTTGAGGTTCGCCCGTGAGTTCTTTCCCCGGCAACTGGAGTCCAGCGTGGGACGTATCTCTAGGATGAGTTTTGCTAATGTGGTCTTCAGTAACCACCTCGAGGGTGTTAAGCCGCTCGTTGCGTCTGGTGCTATTGTTGCCGGTGGTATGTGACTCACTTTGTTTCTGTTTTGCTTTTGTCTAGATCGTGCCATGGAAGGCTTGTAAGCGCATGTACTGACATGGATTGGTTTTTGTCCAGGCGCAATGCTCAATGCTCACCCCGCCGATGGCGAGACCCCCTCTTTCAAGGGAAGCATGATGCTTGCTGTTGCGGAGAACGAGGCCCAGGTACTTGAGCTGCTTAACAAGGATATCTATGTCTCCTCTGGTGTGTGGGATATGGAGAACGCGCAGATTATTCCGGTATGTTATACAAGAAGAGGGTTGTCTGGTTTTGTTTTTTTGCTCGTTGCTAACCTGTCTTCTGGTTTAGTTCAAGTCTGCTGTTCGTGAGGCTTTGTAGTTGCATATCTAGGTTTTAGCTTTGCATTGGGTCTGGGACTTGGGATTTGTCGTTTGATATATGAATAAAAGCGACTGGTCATTGAGTTTGTGCTGCATCTAGATGTCTTTGTGGTTTCCTCGGTAGTTCTGTTCGGTAGTTCTGTTTTACTTGTAGGATGGAAGATGGAAGACTGATAATATATCATGCTAGCAGACTGGCTAATCAGTGAGTAATGCCGAAAAGGATAGATACGGTTAGCCTGGTACTTCTTTTCTCATTTAGGCATGCATATCCCGATTGGAACGATTAGAATAAGCCGAGGAGTGGAACTACACTCCGATTTTGTCCCCGACTGTAACTCCGCGGGAATAAGGTCGGCCTAATTTGGATTGCAAGGATGTAGTAATAGGTCGATAAACGTATATTGTATTCGAATAGTCGAAGAACGTAGAACGTACAAACATCAAATTGATAATTGATCGCCATGGTTGAATTTACGCCTATCACTTCACTCCACTATTTGATATCATCGTCCAACAATTGGCCCAAGGAGAGGCGGAAAACAAGACGTTGACCGGGCGAGTCCACCGCGGAGAACTTGAGTGGTGCAGAGAGCTCGCCACTCCTGGGAACTGATATCACCAGCACGCATTATCACTGGCACAGAGATATAATTCCCCAACTTTTCCCATCTGGTACATCACTCATATCATTTAAATCTCACAATCGAAGACGGAGGAAGAGATACAAAACCGAACGTCATCTTTGTCATCTCCGACGACCGGCGGATCCGGACAAAGAAACTACCCCATTAGGACTAGCGTGATTAGCTAAGACCCGATCAGATTATTTATGAATTCATCACTTTCTCCCTATCAGATCCATCTTTTTTTCGCCTTCAACTCATTACCCGTGAAATCAAACACCCTCCATCAAATACCCTCCATCAAAACATAACATATTCATAATAATCCACATCCACAATGTTCAAACGCCTAGTCACCGTTGCTCCCCGCGTCGGCTCCGTCGCAACTCGCAGCACCCTTTCTCCCCTCACTGGCCTGCAATCCGCTCAACCCGCCATTCGCCGTGCTGCTCCCGCCCCAGCTCAACAGCGCAGAGGATACCACGAGAAGGTCCTTGACCACTACAACAACCCCCGAAATGTCGGCTCCATGCAGAAGGGCGACCAGGACGTCGGTACCGGTCTTGTTGGTGCACCCGCCTGTGGCGATGTCATGAAGCTGCAGATCCGCGTCAACAAGGAATCTGGCCGTATCGATGACGTTGTCTTCAAGACCTTCGGCTGTGGTAGTGCTATCGCTTCGTCCAGTTATCTGACTGAGCTCGTGCGCGGTATGACCCTCGACGAGGCTGGAAGGGTTAAGAACACCGATGTGGCGAAGGAGCTGTGTCTGCCTCCTGTCAAGCGTATGTCCTTTCTCCTGTGATGGTTGATGAATTTGGTCCATTCGAATGCTAACACACATTACTTTAGTGCACTGCTCCATGCTTGCCGAGGATGCTATCAAGTCTGCTATCGCCAATTACTACACCAAGAACCCCAACACCCGTACCACAGATCTGTCCGGGACGGGTGGCGTCATTCCTGATGTTAAGGTTGAGACTGCTGGTAGCCCTGCTGCCATTTAAATTCTTTTTTAAATTCTTTGTTTTAACGGTGTGAGCTTATCGGATGGATTCTCCATCTGAATGACGCAACCCCACTCGTTTCGTTTCACGAACTCTGCGATTTTTAATTCCGAGGTTGTCTTAATACACAATCATTTGATCAAGGATGCTTGTTTTTGTCGGGGAAAATCGACAGGAACAGGCGGATTTGGGATTCGTTGTACTTGGGTGCCACTGAGAATGTGTGCCAAGAGATGACGATGGATGAGATGAAAACGAACAAATTGCCCATTTGTTTGATGTACATATTTCCCTTTTTTTTTTTACACGTTCTGGTACTTTTTATCTTTTTTTTTTCTGCGATGGCGCCTCGGTATCTGGGATCCTTGATCGATACTCTCATCTCCATGTTCTGAAAAGCAGCGCCTTGATAGTTTCCAATGAAACAATGAAACCAGAACAGTTATCCTTTTGTAAAATGTAGAGTAAGTAATATCACAAACAATCTATAATTTATAATTTTATCAACAATCTATCTATTTATACAAGACCACGCTGGGTCTTTGCTTTCTGCGAGAATACAGCAGAACGAAGCCCGGAAACATAGAGCCCATCCTCTAACAATCCAGTCAAGAGATGAAGAGGCCATGTGCAAAAAGAAATATAGAACGCCGTCGCTGATGCACAGAGAGACCACTCAAGACAATCCGTGCCAATGAACCAAAAAAACAAGGGATATAATGGAAAAACAGAACAAATGAAGGAAAAGCACCAAGGCCAGGGCATCCGCAAGAGAACACCGTCTAACCACTCCGAAGGCCGAAGCGAGTCTTCAAGGACAGTACAGTCTCATAAACAGACAATTTGACCTCAACACGAAGGTAACTCGCGTAGGCATACACGAAGCGGAAGAAGTTGCGGAAGACACCGCCAGACTCCTTAATGAGCTCCAACTGCTCTTCAAAGACAGTGCGCGTGGCATAACGCGCGAGGATAAGGAAAGAGCGCATTGGGCCCTGGCGCGTGTGAAGGTTTTCGTCTAAGCTGCGAGCTGGGAGGGAGTTAGCCGATGACATCTAGAGGGTCGAAAGTGAAATACATACTGAGGTCATTGGTCTTCAAGATAAGAAGAATAATCCGGGGAACTTGGCCTAGCAAGACAACCAGTTGTTGCAGCATGCCTTCACCCAACGCACCAGAGATATCATCCTTCTCCTTAGCCGTCCGCGCAGAAACGACGCTTTCCTTCGTGAGAACGCTGTAGTCTCTACCGGTAATGGCGCTGGCAAAGAGTGGGAACTGCTTGTCTGTGACACCGGCAACCTTGAACGCGAACTCGCGCATCCGCGGCACGTCCGCGTCGATAACGGCTAGCCACAGCTTGGCGTAGTTGCGGCGCAGGTCGCGGTCGATGTTACGGTAGAGTCCGTGGTCGTAGAGGACGATATCGAAGTTGGGGTGTGGGCGGGTGTGGTTCGGGCGGATGGCGATGTTGCCGCCGTGGGGATCGCAGTGGAGTGGGGCATTGTCGCCGAAGATCATCTCGTTGAAGACGTGGGCGAGAGCGGCGGAAACTTCGTCGCGGTCGATGTTATTGGCGTCGAGGTACTCCAGGTCGTCGGGGCGGTGACCTGCGATGTACTCCATGACGAGGATACGCTTTTGGGACCACATCACTGGGATCTAGTTAGCTTCAAGTTATACATACAAAGACAGGGTTGGCAGCATCGCGAACCTTTGGGAATGACCAGTGGGGCATCAGAGTGCTTCTTGAAGTACTCGCTGGCATGAGTAGCATTCTGGGCTTCCATCCGGAAGTCCAGCTCTTGCGGCAGCGAGAAATCCATTTCCTTGGACAGCCATTCCAGGTCATATTCAGGGAAGAAGCGCTTAAGCATGGAGAAAGTGAATCGAGTCAAAGCCAAGTCCAACGGCACCCATTCGTCCAGCGCGGGATGCTGGACTTTAACGGCGACCTTTTGTCCAGTTTCCTTCAACGTAGCAATGTGTACCTGTGCCAGCGATGCAGCACCGATGGGTGACGATTCAAAAGAGGAGAATAACTCATTCATGTCCTGGCCTGTGTCCTTGCGGAATAGCTCACTGATCGATTCAATTGACGAGACGGGGCATCTGTCCTGGAGCGGGATGAAGGTCGAGGTCCATTCGATGGGGAGTAGGTAGCCCATGCTGCTGAGATGCTGGCCCAATTTGATGAAAATTGATCCGTTCTTTTCTAAGACACGGAGTGTACGCTCAGCGCATCGCTTGTGGCATGCGCTAATCAGTGCGTTATGTTCTTCGGGGGACGAGGCTTCTTGTTTCAGGGTAACACGGTAGCTGCAGCAATTCGAGGTTATATTAGCGATCTTGTCAAGGCGCAACATGGGAAAAGTCTATAGAGTCAATATAATCCACTTACTCGTTGATACAGACAGCCAGTGTGCCGACAACGCGCCCACTGCGTTTCGCTGCCTGGAACGCATGCTCCGCTTGGTCAGAGAACGTCACTGCGCCCAAACCGAGTATACTTCCAATGAGAAACCATTTTATGACACTCCGCTGTGATGCACTCATGCTGGGCGCATTTTCGGACTTGTGCTGACTCTTAGTCTCCATAGACAAGAGAGACGAAGCCTTCGCGGAAAAAGAACGGCGTGAAGCGGCGAGGGTCGAGCCCTGGGAGGACACAGAACGACCCCATGATGAAGCGTTGATTGCACCGGAAGAGGGCGACAGTTGTAGTGGCGATTTCGAGGCCAGAAGGAACGAGGATCCAGATGTTGAGGGTTTGGACGTTTTCCCGATCACCGTTGCGGGATCAATCTTGAATGCCCGCAACGGCACGCGAAGCGCTGCGCTCATTCCCGAGGCGAAGGCCACCGGCCAGAAAAAGACCAAAAGAAAAGAGGAAAGGACTGATAGTGCTTGTAGGCGTTTCTGGGCTTAATTCATCGTATGATTATTTGCGGCTCAGAGAGATTTTTCACGGTTCTCGCCGCCAATCGGCTTCGACGCTGCACGTGATTCCATCTATAGATCAGCCCATAACAGACGTCATAGCTAATTTGGTGTTGAACAGGTTGGATAATGCGGATGATTGACCAGTATATGCGACAGCGAAGAAGAGACACGAAAGAAGCATACATTAGCATCATAAAGAAGAGATAGGGAGGGGAGTGCGGACTGTATATCAAGGGCCGCCAACAACTACAACATCCTTCTGTTATACAAGTCAAACTGTTCACTTATGAGCTTATGCCAAGGATACCGATGCAAATTAGAAGAAATTATTGATTCAAACAGAAAAGAAAACCATAGACTCTATGTGCAGCAACCAGTACCCACATAATAACAAAAGGGCTTTTACAAAGGAGTAAAACCAT